CACTGTGGCCTAAACTTCCAATACTATATTGAATGGAAGTGGTGAAAGTGGACAACGTTGTCTTGTTCCTGATCTTAGTGGGAAAGCTTTTAGTTTTTGCCCATTGAGTATGATGTTGGCTGTAGGTCTCTCATATATATGGCCCTTATTATTTTGAGGAATGCTCCCTCTATTCCCACTTTGCTGAGTGTTTTTATCATAAATGGGTGCCGTACCTTATCAAAAGTTTTTTTTGCATTTATTGATATGATCGTGTGATTTTTGTCTTTGCTTTTGTTTATGTGATGTATTGAATTTACTGATTTGCAAATATTGAACCATCCTTGCATCCCTGGGATGAATCCTACTTGGTCATGGTGTATGATCTTTTTAATGTATTGTTGGCTGTGGTTTGCCAATATTTTGTTGAGGATTTTAGCATCCATTTCATCAGTGATATTGGCCTGAAGTTTTCTTTCTTTGTTGTGTGTTTATTTGGTTTGGGGATTAAGATGATGCTGGCTTCATAAAAAGAGTTAGGGAGACTTCCATCATTTTGGATTTTTGGGAAGAGTCTGTGAAGGTTAGGGGTCAGCTCCTCCTTAAATGCTTTGTAGAATTCTCCTGTGAAACCATCTGGTCCAGGGTTTTTGTGTGTTGAGAGTTTTTGATTAATGCTTCAATTTCATTTGCTGTTATTGGTCTGTTCAGGCTTTCTGCCTCTTCTTCATTGAGTTTTGGAAGATTATATTTTTCTAGAAATTTGTTCATTTCACCTAAGTTTTCAAATTTCTTGGCATACAGTTATTCATAATAATTTCTTACAATTCTTTGTATTTCTGTGGGATCAGTTGTAATCTCTCCTCTTTCATTTCTCCTCTTTTCATTTGATTGTGTTTATTTGGGTTCTCTTGCTTCTTTTCTTGATGAACCTGCTTAAAGTCTTGTCTATTTTGTTTATCTTTTGAAAAAACCAGCTCCTGAATTTGTCAATCCTTAGAATTATGCTTTTAGTCTCTGTCATTTAGTTCTGCTCTGATCTTGGTTATTTCCTTCCTTCTACTTGCTCTGGGCTGTCTTTGTTGTTTTTCCTCAAGTTCTTGTAGGCGTAGGGTTAGGTTGTTTGTTTGAAATGTTTCTGTCTTTCTTAGGTAGCCCTGTATTGCTATGAACTTCCCTCTCAGGACTGCCTTTGCTGTGTTCCATAAGTTTTGGGTTGTTGTGAGTTCATTTTCATTTGTTTCCAGAAACTTTTTTATTTCTTCCCTGATTGTTTCTGAGCCTCTTTTTCTTTTCTTGCTCTTTCTGGGTGCTTTTTTACCTTGTCCTCCAGCTCACCGATTTGATCTTTTGCTTCATCGATCCTGCTTTTGATTCCTTCCACTGTGTTCTTCAGTTCAGAAATTGTATTCTTAATTTCCTCTTGGTCCTTGTTGATAGTTTCTGTTTCCTTTTTCATGTTGATGTAGTTTGCAGTGAGTTCATTATAGTTTCCCTATAGTTTCTGGTACCTCATTGTGAGCTCATTGAATTTCCGGATAACCAGTGCTTTGTACTCAATATCTGGTAGTTGACTTGCCTCTATTTCATTTAGCATTCTTTCTGGGGCTTCCTCCTTTTTTTCATTTGGGTATTGTTTGTTTGTCTTCCCATTGCTTGTGAGACTCTTCTTGTTAGCTTCGGCTTCTTAAATTGATCTGTTCTGGCTCCCTGGGTTTATGGTGTGAACTTCTGTGCAGAATTCCTGTGAGATTCAGTGTTGTAGTCTCCTTGATCTCCTGATCTCTCTGGTCTTGGGCTATCATTTTAGTTGGCTTTGTGTTTGTCTTTGGGTTTTGATTGTTTTGGGGTTTTTCCTTGGTGGGTCCTTCCCACCAGCTGGTTAACTGAGGTTCACTCTGTTCATCACCTCTTGTAGTTTGTTGTGCTGGTGAGGGCAGGTTGTGTTGAAGGTGGTTCTTCTGTGTGTACAAGGTTTCAAGAATTCTCTTCTGCTCTTGTTCAGTTGTTTATACTGGGTAGTTTCCCCACTAATTAGTTGTATTTCTGTATAGGTCCTGGATTGAGGTTTGTGTGGTTTCCACTCCCTCCTTCACCTTCCTTTGTTGTTATCTGTTGGTGGTTCCTTTGTTGTTGGGTTTCCTCTTCCAGGGGGTATCCTGGTGTTCACTGCTTCCACCTATTCTTTTTTGTGATCATTTGGAGGGAAGGTAAAATGGTTTAAGACAGCAAGAGAGTATTCTATGATATTTCTAGTAGCCGGTGGAATTGAAGAGATAGGAGATCCTTTGGCTGTGTATAGTGTTAACCATGATATTCCACCCAACTAGCCACTTTTTAGAAAGGATGGAAAGAAGATAAGACTTATTGGGAAGGGAAGGATTGTGAGTTGGATCTAGAAAGAATTGAGGTTGTGAGAGGTCAGATTCTGATGTAAGGTGAGAGTAAAGGATAGTAAATAGGTGTAGTGTGTGAGAGAATAGAGTTAACCACTACAGTAATAGAGTTCAGGGAACTGTGATGTGGGCTAAGATCCTGGAAGGGTGTTTTGAAGTATTTACACTTGTATGGAACAGCTATTATTTACAATAATATTAGATTAACAATCATATGACAGAATCTATGAGATCTGCATAACATGAATAGGGGGTATAGAACTTTTAGTAGTGTGCTAAAGGAACACAAGTGACATGAAGGGGAGTAAAATTTGCAATACACTGTGAAAGAGAGAACAGGGGACACTTGTGAAATGATACAATATAACCAGCCAAGCAAAGAAGACTATACAGAAAGAAGAGGAATACAAAAATACTATTAAAATAAAAGATGTAAGAATAGTGAAAAAAATTAATAATATAAATATGCAGTAACTTGCAGTTTCTCTGTAATATGATAGTGAAATTTGTCTCCCTGTCTCAACTATTGGGATGCCCTCTTTAGGTCCCACTATGGTCTTTTCACAGTTCCAGATTTTTTTGTCTCGCTTGTGGGTATTTAAAAAAAGCAGGAGAAGGGAGGAAAAAGAGATAAAATTGGAAAGAAAGGAAGAAGGAATAAAACAAGAAAGAAGGAAAGAGAGAGGAGAAAGGTATTGAAAGAAAACAATAATAAAAATTAAAAAATAAAAGATTACTTCAAAAGAAAAGAAAACAAAAACAAAAAACCCTCATGTTGGTTTCAAACTGGACAAACCAGTTTTTCTGGTCTTGCTTGCTACAGCAGGCTGAAGGGCTATTGGTATGGCTTTTCTCCTTTCCAGATGTACACTCAGACAGTCTTGTGCTCACTCTCCCTAGAGCTAGTCTCGTGCCTCTTCCTGGCGCCTTGGGTGTGGGATCCAGGTCTTCCTCAGAGGCTCTTTTCCCTGGGGTTACTGCTGTGGGCTGGGGGGTTGGGGTGTTCGCACTGCTGTGCATGTGGGCACTCAGCCAGGCTTCCTCCTGTCCCTTCCCAGTACTATGGGGGTGCATAGGGCCTTCCATGTGACCTTTTGTGCAACTTCGGGATTGCTGCCTGGGTGGGTGGTGAGTAGGCTGAGTGGCTGTTGCAGGAGAATTCCTCAAACAGTTTTTGTTTTTGAGAAATTCCTCCTACTCAAGCCTGCTGCTTCATATAGCCCAATTCTCCAGCCAGACTGGTGAGTATCCAGGGTCAGTGCTCGTCACTGCAGGACTCTCAACTCTCTCAAGCTGGTGACTTCAGACTCTGCAGGTGATCACAGCCCCTGTATATTTGCCTCTTTGTCCTTATTCCCTCTCTGCAACTTCAAGCAACCAGGTCTCTCCCTGTGCTGCTTAAACCTTATTTGTCCAGGCAGGAGGGAGCAGTTGACCCGGCTCTCTCCCAAGGAGTCTGTGGTAGATCCAGGTCTGGGTCTGGGGCTACAGCCACCCTGGTCCCCTAGCTGGTCCCTGGGACTTTATTGTCTTGAAGCACTCTCCTTACCATCTGTTTTTTCAGTGTCTGGTACAATTTTTGGTCTCTTATTTTCATATGTACTGGGGTACTGTTGGCTATTTGCTCTATTCCTCCATAGATCAGCTACGTTTTTCTCCCATGTGTAGGGGGAAGTGGAATCTGGTCCCTCCTACTTTGTCACTATCTTTCTTCCTTTGTTGATAATTTCTGCCCTGAAACAGGACCTCTAATCCATCCATTTTAACCTACTTGCCATTTTTAAAACACAACTTTGTTCTTCCCACCTGATTTTGCATATACTACTATTCCTATGTGGGAAACCATCTGTAGAATACACACACACTCACATATTCCACACTCTGAAGATTGGACTAAATTACTAATTAAATATCTAACAATATAGGAAAGAAATTATTTTTAATAGCCCCTCTCCACCCACCCCCTGATGAAAACATACATTGTATCAGAAGTAACATGATCACACAAATCTGGAACAGATGGGACATAAGGTCATATCCTATTTCTTTAGTGCTTGGTACATCTGGTAGGTAAGAACTGCACAATATATTATGGATATAACAATTATTAGTTTGGTTCTATACTTACATGTCTGTTTAAAATTATGGTGGGCTTGAAGATATGAAATTTACTGCATCCATAATTCTGCATGCCTACTACGTTCTCTAGTTTACATAGGAAATTGTCTCAAGCATGATATAATCACACACATCTTTAAATTACTCCTGCAGAAAACAAAAAAATATTTACTTATATATTATCTCCCATGGAAAAATGTCAAATTTACTAAGATATTTTAATACTTATAGAATGCTATATAAATATTTAGATAAAGGTCGTATCATTGTGGAATTTTTGAATTATAGAAAAAATTTACTTACACAAGTAAAATTCTACCAATATTCATATTATATTTTATAGATAAGTATTTTTTAAAAGATGTTTGTTCATATGACTCTTATGATACATAAAAACAATTAAGTGAGTGTATAATTAATATATAGAAGGTTTGGGGATTTGCTTTATAAGTTATTTTATATTTTATCATTACAAAATGAACCTAATATATTGTATTTATCTATTAGTTTTCCAATCTTTGAAAATCCATATCCCATGGACATTCATGAGTCACCAGTTACTTGCACAGCCTACTTTGCTGATTGCCCTCCAGATTTGATTCTAGTACTCTATGCTATAGGAGTTAAGCATAAAAAACAAGGATACAGTAATAAGGTAAGAGTAACAGTTAATAAATTGTGTTAGATTCATATTCATATCATGTGATTACACTTTTTTGTCATACTATTTTCTTACTTTCTATAAAAGAATACTTGAACTAAATTCTTTTTCGAAATCAGAAGCTGGAATCAATAAAAACATAACCTCTGGTTTTCAAATTTCTTAGATGGTACATAACTTAAAAACTATAGAAATATAAATTTCATATACAATATGTATATATTATATATTGGTATACTTATCTATCATATATATTTTTATACTAAGAATACATTTAAAGTAACAAATTTGGATTATAAAATATAACTTTTAATTATTTTGGATGAAGGATTATATTTTAACACATTGGAGTCAACTCTAATCATTTATCAATCAATGTTTAATACGACATAATTATCAAAAGTCATTTATTCAATAACTTTCTGGAATTTCATTTTATTGTTCTTAGTATAAAATTCAAGCACTTACAATTGTATTAGATCACCCATTATTATTTCTATTATTTGTACAGGGCTATTGGGATGGATAACTCTGGGGGTGGGGGTGGGGGTGGGGGCACAATTAACATAATATTCTGCATTAAATGGCACCACAATAGTTTGGAAGTACATAGATCATGTGGCAAATGTTGCAGTATTTTATTTGTATAATTGAAAAAAATTTTTTGACCTTTTAATATGAATGGTAACCTTTCTTAATGTCAGTGTTTTTAAAGATGATGACATTATATATTTGGAATATTTTGCTGAATGAAAGAATTAAAAGATAGCCGCATACTTTATTCTCCACTACTTTATAGCTATTGACTTCTAAGAAAATCTTGCACCATTATTTTAAAATACTGTCATTTTAAATTTTAAGTTATTTAAAATTAAAAATACACTTATAAATTGTTCCTGGATAATATACGTAGGAGTGGCCAATCACCGGAGGAGCTTGGAACCTTGGAACACAAACATATCCAGAAATTATTATTACCGGGTAAGTGGGATATGACTTTTAAATTTATCAATTCATCATCAAAAATGTTTTATTAAGCTTTTACAATTTCTCATAATTATGCTCTAGGCAGACTGACAGCTTAAGTAAAAGTAAAGATATAACTACACATACATGCATAGCCTGTAGATACATACAGGAAACACTGAGGTGAAGGCCAGAGGGAGGGGAGGATGCGATCTTGGTGGAGGTGAACAAAGGTGAGGGAAATGGGGGACATCTGTAAGAGTGTCAACAATAAAAATAAGATGCAAATTTTGTGCAAGGATAATAACCTTGGTGGAAGATAGAATGAAACTACTGAAAACTTAGACATGTAACAAAAATAATTATGTGTACATTATTATAACAGAGGGAGAAAGTCAAAGTATGAAAAATCACAAGAGACTAGTCAAGGAAAAATTTCTGTGAAAATCATAGATTATTAGCCTAAAGAAGTCCCTTACCAACATCTCTTGATTGCTGCCAACTGACTATTCTATTAGGTGGTTATTTAAAGTATGCTGTAAAACTTACAGCACCAGAAAAGTCACTACTTTCTATAGCAGCCTACTCTAATAGTAGGAATAAAAAAAAAGAGACATACCAACAGATAAAGGTGAGATTTGAAAGGTAATAAGTTATTCTGCTTATGGGGCAATATACTAGATGAAATTTTTCCTGTTTTTCCCATTGAATACAACTAAAATCTTAAACAGTATATATTAAACAAACATAAACTGCCTGGAAAAGATGGAGAGAAATCAGACTGGCAAGGCCCCCAAGTCCTATGGAATAACATGGTGGCAAGTTTTTTTTTGGGGGGGGGTTGGTTATTTATTTATTTATTTATTTATTTATTTATTTATTTATTTATTTATTTTTGTACCTCCATATCCCAGAATTAGAGATGAAGAAGCTGACACTCTGGATCTGTCAGTGGGTGCAAACAAACAAACAAACAAAACATGAACAAAAGTTAGTTCTCTGTAGCTAAAGGGCATGAAAAAGGGTAGCCTAACAAGACAGAAAACTTTTAGAAAATAATCTCTCTAGCTAACTGCCAGAAGAAAAAAAACTATGGCCCCACTCCAACCCACTCAAACAAAGGCAGATTAAAGACCCCAGATTTTACCTTCATTAGGCTGTAAAAAAGGTGCCTCAACTTCCTCTTGAGTGGAGTATCATTTTCTGACTCTAAACAAAGGCTGAGTAATGAATAAGAAGCTGGGACTTTTAACTCCGATGGATGCTGATAAAACCCATCACCTGTGGTGTCAGAGAAGATCATGTGGGGAGAAAATTTTCCATCACAGCCAAGCAGTGGTAAGCCACACACCCTCTACCTTTTGTGTCAGTAAGAATCCAGTGAATGAAGAGAGGAAAAAAAAATAGGTCTGAAAAAAGTGTATCAGAAAATAATGCCTGAAAACGTTCCAAATTTCACAGAAGATGTCAACCTATAGATTCCAGAAACTGAATGCGCCACAAGAAATCTATAACAAGTCACATCATAGTCAAACCTCTGAACACACCAAGAAAAAAAATGAAAATAGAAAAATGACACCTTACCTATAGGGCAAAACAAATGTAAATGATGGTGAATTTCTCATTAGAAACTGTGGAGGCCAGATGGAAAAGACTTTTCAAGTGCTGCTAGAAAAGAACTGGCAACCCAGAATGCTATACCCAGCAAAAATATTTGGGAATGAAGGAAAAATCAACACATTTGCTGAAGAAAGAAACAAAGAATTCTGTTAACATCAGACTTACCCTAAAAGAGTGACTAGAGTAAGTTCTCTAAACATAAAGCAAATGATAAAAGAAGGAACCTTGGAATATCAAGAGGGAACGAAGAATGCAGTAGTAAAAATGAGGGCAAATACAATTGGCTTTGAGCTTTTAAAATTATATTTGGTGGGTAAATGCAACAGGCTTTTCTTCTCTTGAGTTTTTAAAATTATAATTTGATGGTTGAGTAAAATATTACAGTTACATTGTCAGGTGTGGTTTTATGGACATGTAGGGGGAATATTTAGACAATATAAAAGGAAGAAGGTAAGGTAATGGAAAGGGAGGTAAGATTTTAATACTTTCAATGGTAGTATGATGACACCAGTAGACTGTGACCAATTGTTATACTTCAAGCAACCATTTTTTAAAAGCCTGATGCAAACAAATACACACAAAAATACACATTGAAATGGATGTACTAAAATAGTTCAATTAACCCATAGGAAGGCAGGAAAAAACAGGAAAGAAAAAAAATGACAGACTAAAGCACTAACACAACACTGGTTAAGTTAAGTGCAAATATTCTAAATACTCCAATTCAAATTAACAGATTGAAATTAAGGCCCTACTGTATAGCTATTTACAATATAGTCACTTCACATAAAAGAGTATAGTCAGGTTGAGAGAAAAGTAATTGAAAAATACTCTATAAAAATTTGGTGGAGAATGACATTGGCAAGATATCAGAATAGGTAGCTGCAGGCCTTGTTCTCCTACAGAGATGCTGATGTAACAACAATATATGGTCGAGGAACCAGTAAAAAGTTGTACCCAGGCAAGCTTAAAGCCAAGAACTGCCAAATTGAAATGGGTTTAAATAGCCCTTTAGTTTTATTTTGACTATGTCAGCCCCTCCACAAAATTGGCATAGCTTGTGGGCAGGAGGAAAGCCCAATTTACATCTTATCTCATTGGAGGGAAAGAGAGGAGTAGAATGTGCATCAGATATTCCTGCTTTTCAGGGGGCTTCCCAAGAGATTAATTTCTGTCTCACCTGAACCTGAGTGGTATGAAACTTCGTTGCCTGGGGGATGCAGAAAGCAAAAAAGAACGCAGTGTTTGTTCTATATCTGTGAAGTATGCCATTGGTACTTTAATAGGTATTGCATTGAATCTATAAATTGCTTTGGGTAGTATGGACATTTTGACAATGTCACTTCAGATGCATGAACACAGTGTATGTTTCCTTTTGTTTGTGTTCTCCTTAATTTCTTTCTTCAGTATTGTATAGTTTTCTGAGTACGGGTCTTTTACCTCCTTGGTTAGGTTTATTCCTAGGTATTTTGTTGTTGTTGTTGCTATATCAAATGGGATTTTTTTCTGATTTCTGTTTCTGATATTTCATTGTTAGTATACAAAAATGCCTTTGATTTCTGGACGTTGACTTTGTATCCTGCTTGTTTTGCCAAATTCATGTATTAGGTCAAGCAGTTTTTTGGTGGAGTCTATAGGGTTTTCTATGTACACTATCATATGTTTGGTGAAAATAAAACTGATTTCAAATGTTAAATATTAAAAAAAAGAACTCAGTGGTTGTCAAACTTCCCCCAAAACCTATAGTACTAAAGACAGACAATGGTGGGAGCAAGAGACTACAAGCTCCTGGAGAAAACCAGCAAACCTCTCTAACTGGGAAATTACACACACAGGTCCAGAGGAGATACATCTCCATTAAAGGTTTGAGGCCCAAAGACTTCTACTTAGACATATTGGTGAAGGTCTTCTCCTGTACAAAGCCAGTTCACAAGTGGTAGCTTTATTTTCAAATGATAAATTTCCAACAAGAAATAACAGGCACACAAATAAACAGGTAATTAAAGGGACAAAAATAAACTTAGAGAAATTGATCTCTAGTCCTATTAAGAAATAGAGATCTGTGAATTACCTAACAAACAATTCAAAATAATTGTCTTTCAAAAGCTCAGGGTACAAAGAATACAGATAAACAAATAAACAGAATTTTAAAAATAAGGCATGAGCAAAATGAAAACAAAGAGATAAAAACTATAATAATGAAAAAGAAGGTTTAGAGTAGAAGAATAACTGAATTAAAAAAATATACTAGTAGCGTTCAACTTCAGACTTAATCAAAAGAAAGAATTAGTAAACTAGTAGATAGGTAATAGGAAATTACAGAGTCAGAGGAAAAAAGAAAAAAAGAATGAAGAAAAGTGTTATATCTGATAACAGCTTAATATCAAAAGTATGTGAAGAACTCAAACAACTTAACATAAAAAAATTTAAAAAACAGAAGACCTGAATAGACATTATTGCAAAGAAGACTTACAAATGACCAACAGACACCTGAAAAAGATGTGTAATCATGTTCAACCTAAGCTCATCACCACTAATCATCAAATTCAAATCAAAACTATAATGAGATATCACTTTGTATCTGTCAGAATGGCTATTATAAAAAGATGACAAATAAAACCTGGCAAAGATGTTGAGAAAAGGGATTGTAAATTAGTGAACTACTATGGAAAATAGTATGGATATTTTTCAAAAATTAAAGCTAGAACTGTAATATATATGATCCAGCAATTCCACTTCTGCATATTTATCCAAAAGATGAAAACAGTAATTTGGGAAGATATATAGCACCCCTGTGTTCATTGTAGCATTATTTATAATAGCCAAGATATGGAAGCAACCTACGTGCCTATCAATAGATGAATGAATAAGGACTATGTAGCACATATAAACAGTGGAATATTACTCAGCCATAAGAAACAATGAAATCTTGCCATTTGCAGCGACATAGATGGACCTAAAGAGTGATATGCTAAGGGGAATAAGTCAGACAAAGACAGATACTGTATGATTTCACTTATGTGTGGAATCTGTAGGTTGTTCCTAAATGCCAGTTAGCAGGTTGAAGAAGTTTCTGTTCCTAGATTGTTGAGGTTTTATTTTTCATGAACGGATGGTAAATTTTTGTCAAATGTTTTTTTCTTCATTTATTAAGATGATCATGTTGTATTTAATCTTTCAGTATGGTGAATTACAATATGATGATTGAGTTTTTTTAATGTTTAACTGGCCTTGCATTCCTGGGATAAATCCCACCTAGTTATGATATATGATGTATGACAGAATCTTCATTTGATTTGCTAATATTATTGACAGTTTTTATGCCCATGCTCAAAGAATATTGGTTTGTGATTTTCTTGCAGTGGTTTTTTCTAGTTTTGATTGAAAATAAAGCTGACCTCAGAAAATGTATTGGGAAGTATTTTATTCTATTTTATTTTCTTAGTGAGTTCTTATACAGTTACCATTGTGTTATCACCAAATACTGATAAAACTTTAGATAGGTTTAAGGATTTGACTTTGTAATTTGAAGTTTAACTTTATCATGATATTCATTTCAAAATTATTTTAATATCTAAATTGCCTTGGGTATTTTTTTATTTAGTGTAAACAATTTTATGTTAAAAATATTGTTTTTTCTAGTAGGTGGGTTTTAATTGCTCTCTATTACAACATAAAATCTTAGAATAAAATTTAAGTAATTACTGTTCTTTTTTAAGTTCAGATTTTAATGTATTATTTTATATTTAAACTATTTTTTTGTGCTTAGAAATGATTTAGTGTACACTTATTTTCACAGGAACAGTATTTTTTAATTGAATTTAATATTAACTCAAGTTTTACACTTTTAGAATAATTTTTTATTTAATATACTTTAATTTATGCTAATTTGTTTTTTGCCTAGTCATGCAGATGGATCAATAAAATTTTGGGATGCTTCTGCAAGTAAGTTTTAATCTTCTCCTTTCATAACAGAAAACACTTGGTTATATATACTCCCAGCCATTCACCACTTTTTAGTTTCAACAATTAACATTTCACTTACATTTTTAGTATATGTACATGGTTGTGGTACAAAACCCATTTTCTATATTATTAGATCAATTTAAAGTATTTCTACTGTATTTCTGTAATATAAACTGGACTGAAGCCACTTTTTAGTACCAACCATTATATTTATAAAAGGCAAATTGTAAAGGCAAAGTACATTAGAAAAAGAACCAAAGTTTGTCAGATTATGTCTTTTCAGGGGATGTCCTTTTACCTCCTAACTCTGTGGTATTGAAAAAGTGTTTTTATCCCATTAGTATTCACTTTTCTTGCCCCTCTATATGTTTACATAGACACTATGTAAATATGTACAACACATAACTTTTGGTAACCACTCAAGAGTAAGTTGCAAATATGCTGCTCCTCAGATACTGAATGCCCTTAAATACTCAATGTGCATTTCCTACAAATACATTCTTTTACCTAAATTATAGTTATTGACATCAGGAGATTAATATATATCCAATAATATTATCTAACCTCCAGATTGTATTCAGTTTTTGTCCATTGTCCCAATAATATCTTCTATAAGAAAAGAAAATCTAGGCTCATTTATGGCATTTAGTTATCATATCTTCTGAAACAGTTCCCAAGTTCTTTTTTTTTTAATTTATTTATTTTTAAAAATTGATTATGCTGTTACAGTTGTTCTATTCCCCCCTTCATTCCCCTCCACCCTGCCCCCCCAACCCCACCATTACCCCCCTTTAGTTTATGTCCATGTGTCTCAAGTCCTTTAGGTTCTATATTTCCCATGCTATTCTTGCCTCCCCCATCTATTTTCTATCTACTGTCTATGCTACTTATTTTCTGTACCTTCTCCCCCCATCTCCTCCTCCCACTCCACTGTTGCTAACCCTCCTTGAGATCTTCATTTCTATATTTCCACTCCTGATCTAGCTGTTCTTTTAGTTTGCTTTCGTTTTAGGTGTGGTTGTTAATAACTGTGAGCTTGTTGTTCTTTCACTGTTCATGTTTCTTTAACTTCTTTTTCTTAGATAAGTCCCTTTAACATTTCATATAATAAGGGCTTGGTGATGATGAACTCCTTGAATTTGGTCTTATCTGAGAAGCACCTTATCTGTCCTTCCATTCTAAATGAAAGTTTTGCTGGATAGAGCAATCTTGGTTGTAGGTCTTTAGATTTCATGATTTGGAATATTTCTTTCCAGCCCCTTCTTGCCTGTAAGGTCTCTTTTGAGAAATCTGCTGACAGTCTGATGGGAACTCCTTTGTAGGTGATTGTCCCCTTAGCTCTTGCTGCTTCTAGGATTCTCTCCTTCATTTTAATTTTGGCTAATGTAATTATGATATGCCTTGGTGTGTTTCTTCTTGAGTCCAACTTTTTTGGTACTCTCTGGGCTTCTTGGATTTCTTGGAAGTCTATTTCCTTTGCCAGATTGGGGAAATTTTCTTTTATTATTTGTTCAAATAGTTTTTCCACTGGTGGTTGTGTCTTTCCCCCCTTCTGGTACCCCTATAATTCGGATATTGGAGCGTTTAAAGATGTCCTGGAGGTTCCTAAGACTCTCCTCATTTCTTTGAATTCTTGCTCCTTGACTCTTTTCTGTTTGGCCATTATTTGGTTTCTTCTGGTCCACTCCATTGATTTCAGTCCCAGTTTCCTTTTCATCTCTATGGGTTTCCTGTGGAATTCCATTCATTTCCCTTAATTTAGCCTTCATATGTTTCTCTAATTTGTGGCTATAATCAACCAGATCTGTGAGGAAGCTGATGACCAGTGTTTTAAACTGTGCGTCTGAGAGTTCTGCTATTTCTTCGTCGCTTAGATTTATCTCTGGGGCTTTGAGGTCTCCCTGCGACATTTTTGGTCTGTTCTGGCCCTTTAAATGTGAGAAGCGGCGCCTTGGACTCCCAGGTCGCTGGGTTGTGACGCTGTATGTGGGGGCGTGGTCATAGCAGGGAAATGGCGGCGCCCTCCATCGCCGCTGCGGCTGGTTCAACCGCCCACTCCCTCGCTCGCGCGCAATTAGGCAACCGCAGTCAACTCGCTGCACCGCCTCCCCACTGTCTCCTCTGCAGTCGCTCACCCGGTGGGTTGCTCGGTCGCTCACTAGGTCCAATCCTGGGTTTGGAACCCGTGCATCTGGATTCGCGTCTGGATTCCACGCCCGGGTCCGACCGAGCCCTCCCTTGCAGCTTCTCACCAGACGCCGGTTTCGCCCCTTACCGGTCGGGCTGAAGAATTTGTTGTTAGCGGACTTCTGAAAAGTTCAGTTTTCCGTGTTCTGGTTGTGTTTTCTGATGCTAATATTTAGTTGTCCCTAAACTTGGTTGTGTGAGGAGGCACGGCACATCCACCTAAACCTCCATCTTGGCGGAAGTCCAGTTCCCAAGTTCTTATGTCATGAAAAAGATATTCATGTTGAGTTCAGCTGACTTATTTTGTAAAATCTCCAATTTGAGTTCTACTCATGTTTCTCATGATTAGGTTCAGATTATACACTTTTGGCAAGAATTCCCAAATTTTTAGAATTTTTCTCAGGAATCCTTTGTTGAATTAGAGCTTTCTCATAGACAAGTCATCATCAGGGTCTAAAATGAAAGAATATTCTCCCAAATAAATATTCCTGAAAATTCACAAACCCAGGGATTCCTAAAATTATAACTAACTCTTTCTTCACATAGCCATTCACAAAAGCTTCTTTCTAACATAATCACAGCTTAATGGATTCCCAGTATTGCTGACTGGAATATTATAAGTGTTTCTCATCTGAAGGAGTGTCTAAAAATTTGTTGAGAGGAGTAAATCCTCTCAGAATAGTACCAGTTTCTCATTTAGTAATACAAGAGGAAAATTAGGGGAAAAATTGAGGGGCCTCCCATAGAATTATTTTCAGTATTTCTATCATGAACTTCCAGAACTCTGGCACTTCTATTGAATAAATGAGGATAATACTTCATGGAAGTTTTTTTAAGTATTTATTTATTTTTAGAGAGAGTGAGGAAGGGAGGGAGAAAGAGAGAGAAAGGGAGGGAGTGTGAGTGAGAAAAACCCATCAGGGACTGAACTGAAAACCCAGGCATGTACTCTAACCAAAAATGGTACTGGCAACCTTTCACATTGTGGAATGACACCCAAATAACTGAGCCACACCAGTCAGAGCTTCATGGACTTGTTCTAAGGATAACATGAGACTGTGGATGCAAAGGACTTACATATTCCTTGGTATATAGTGTATGTTCATAAGTGTTTATTTTTCCTTGTAGTCTTCCTTCAAGTAAACTGTACTGATAACAGAGAATGACACTGAATGCTTACTAGTTAAAATGTAATTTATTTTATCTATTTGTCTTTTGTCATTTAACAAATATATTGAAAAAACTTCAACAACATTTAAGAATTAAGTTTAAAAAATGTGAGTTCAAATTAGAAGGTACTTATCCTTCAATATCTTATAGTAACTCTACAGATGCTGTACAAGCTAAAAACTTCAAAAGTGTTTGAAAAACAGAAGATAGGAGAAGGAAAACAAACCTGTGAAATTGTAGAAGAAGATCCATATGCCATTCAGATGATTTACTGGTGTCCGGAGAGCAGAATATTCTGTGTGTCAGGAGTCTCTGCATATGTCATAATTTATAAATTCAGCAAACATGAAGTAACAACAGAAATAGTGGTAAGTCATTCAAAATTTAAACTTTACATGTAATGAAAGGAAAGCAGTTTCATAGATTTTGGTTGATACTGGTATGGTTTTAAACCATTAACACTGCAGTCTGTGGCCAGTAATCCAGTTCATAGGATTTTAAATTCTTCTTATATAGTATAACATTTTTTAAAGTTTGGCTGAAAATGATAAAAAAAACAGTTTTCTGTAAAACCTTGGCATTATTAAATGGGATGCCTATAGGCTTTATACAGATTTGTTATTGATTTATGTATGTGTCCAATTGATTCAGGCTGTGTTTTATACCTTTATTAATTTTTTTAAACTTTGTCCTTTTTGTCAGTTAATGGCTATATATGATTGTCTCAATTATAATAAGATTATTTTTAATGATTTCCTATAAACATTTTTTATAGAGTGGAAATAATTATGGGGGTCAATTTACCTAATCTTAGTTTTTAAACTAATGAAATAATTTATTTAAAATAATGACATTCTCATGAAATAAATAAAATTTAACTTAAGGCACCTATGGGTAATGGACCTTCTCTACCCAGGCCATTTTACTGTTTTATTAGAAAATAGAAATTGTCTACTAAAGGCCTATAAAGATTATTCCAGGCACGTATATAACTTTTTTTGGCCTCAACAACTAAAGTATTACCCTTTTCAAGTATATTAGTTAAAACTACAGGCTTTGGAGTCGGATAAGCCTAGGTTTTATTTTAATTCTGGCTTTACCAGTGAATACCTATGTGACTCTGATCAAGTGACAAACTCTATTAGTCAATACTAAATCTGGGTAAGGCTTAACTTCATCATCTATGTAATTTCTTGTAAATGAAATGGAAGGTAATAATAAACTAGAAATGGAAATGTCAACTTTATAGGGTTCTTGTGATGATTATTATATAAAATCATTAATATAGTATCAAAGTATAGTAAGCACCCAATAATTAATCATTGTTTTTGTCACTGGAGGTTTTTCATAAATTTTAAGATAATTATGACAGTAATTTTGGTAATATTGCTATATTCACCACCCCCTAATGACATTTGTGTAAACAATCATTTTCAATCTCAAAAATGCTGATTTTTACATTGTAAAGCAAACGTTCGTTATAAAATCTATTTTAATAAAGCATTAAATGCAATAATAAAGTACTTAAAAACATTTTAGTTTTAAAAAAAGATTTTGGTATCACATTTTTATTTTAATATAAACTATCATATTCTTTTTCATTAAGTAACTCTGACCAAGCTAATGAAATTAAATAAGGAAGAGACAAGCTAATGAAACAAACATAGGAATATGAAATTTACTTTGGAAAATTATTACTGAGTTGAAGTCAAAATTAAAGGAAGCTTTAAAAAAATTAAAAAGCCGAGGGCTTCCGCCAAGATGGAGGCATAGGTGGAAGCACTGCGCCTTCTTACACAACCAAGTTTAAAAACAACAAAGTTTTAGGAACAAAAACACAGCCAAACCACAAAAAATTGAACTACACGGAAGTCTGACAACAAAGAACCCTTCAGCCAAACTGGTAAGAGGGGCAGAGCCAGCAGCAGAGCAGTATTGGGCAGGAAAGATCCACCAGACTGACCTGGGCCTGAGACCCAGGTCCGTGACCCAGGTGCACCAGCAGCCGTGGGCAGATCCCAGGTGTGGAGAAGCAGGCAGACCCACTGAGGGTGTAAGGTGTTGGACCCACTGAGGGCTGATCGCAGTCACACATTCGCACAGATAAACCAGTGAAGGAGCTAGCAATGAGACGGACCTCGGGGAAGAGGAACAGCCACCAGTGGAAACCTTATTTGAACAAATAATAAAGGAGAACTTTCCCAGTCTGGCAAAGGAAATAGACTTCCAGGAAATCCAGGAAGCTCAGAGAGTCCCAAAGAAGTTGGACCCAGGAAGGAACACACCAAGGCAAATCAGAATTGCATTAGCCAAGATTAAAATGAAGGAGAGAATCCTAGAAGCAGCAAGAGATAAGGGGACAGTCACCTACAAAGGAGTTCCCATCAGACTGTCAGCTGATTTCTCAAAAGAGACCTTACAAGCAAGAAGGGGCTGGAAAGAAGTATTCCAACTCATGAAATCCAAAGACCGACATCCAAGATTGCTCTATCCAGCAAAGCTTTCATTTAGAATGGAAGGACAGATAAAGTGCTTCTCAGATAAGATCAAATTCAAGGAGTTCATCATCACCAAGCCCTTATTATATGAAATGTTTAAAGGGACTTAACCTAAGAAAAAGAAGATAAAAAGGATGAACAGTGAAAGGACAGCAAACTCACAGTTATTAACAAGCACACCTAAAACAAAAGCAAATTAAGAGGACAGCTAGATCAGGAACAGAACCATAGAAGTGAAGATCACATGCAGAGTTAGCAACAGGGGAGTGGGAGAAGGTATAGAAAATAAGTAGCATAGACAGTAGGTAGAAAATAGGGGGGAGGGCAAGAATACTATGGGAAATATAGAATCTGAAGAACTTGAGACACGTGGTCATAAACTAAAGGGGGATAATGGTGGGGGAGGGGTGTGCAGGGTGGAGGGGAATGAAGGGGGAAATAGAACAACTGTAATGGCATAATTAATAAAATATATTTTTAAAAATTAAAATAAATTAAAAAAATTTAAAAGCCTTGTTCAAATAACAATTTGTAAATCGAGGGTGGAAGGTAGGGGTAGGTGGGTCAGAGGGAGAATGGTGGGGGGGAAATGGAGACAATTGTACTTGAACAATCATAAAAGAAAAACCACATAATACACATATCAGTTTAATCTTTTCCACTGGAGTAAACATGACCAATATTTCTCTTTATTTTATCATATATGGAATTATAATTTATACTTTATCTTAAGGAATATTTATTATATAAATACTTTATCTCCACTGGTAGGTATTTTTCATAAAATTCTGAAGACTTAAAAAGTATTTTATACTTTTTGTGAATGCTATTTAATATTTCATATAATGAACTATTTAATTCAGTTTGGGATATCTCAGTCTTACTATAAATAGAAATCAAACTTATTAATCAGAAAAAATAATGCTTACTAAAATTATCAACTATTTTATTGTGAATCTTTGTTATCATGACTTAGATTAATTTAAACTTGTTTTTTTTTAAGTCATTAGAGGTTCGACTTCAGTATGATGTTGAAGACATTATTACCCCAGAACCAGAAACAAGTCCTCCATTTCCAGACCTCTCATCTCAGCTTCCTTCTTCGAGGAGTCTTTCTGGGAGCACTAACACCGTGTCTAGTGAGGGAGTGACAAAGGACAGTATCCCATGCCTCAAGTAAGAGTTGCTACTACATTTTAAAACTATTTTACATATTAATCATGTAATTATTTTAAACTGTGCCAAATAAAATCATCCTTCTCTCTTATTTAGTTGTTGTTAAGTGATGATCTACAATCTCCTATAGTGTACCCTGGTGTTATCTTTAAATATCCCTGAAGAAGGTATGGTATTTTCATCTTTCACTTGCTAATTCTTATATTTTCTTCCCCGAAAGACCCCAAAGAAAATATGGCTATGCTAAAATGGGAAAACATTTGTCTGGATGCAAACATGGCCATTTACTTGGTATTCAAGAATGGAAATGTATGTTAAGGGAATTTCTTTAGCCTTCTTAGATTTGAAAAGAAACCAAGTTTATTATCTACTGTAATAATACTATTTTAGAAAAAATAATTTTTCTCTTATGATTGGTAGGATATGTCTTTCTCTTTTTTAACTGATGCTATTTGGTAGTAAACTATGTTCTTTCAGTATATCTAAAACTTCAGTGTCATATGCAAAGAAAACTTAGTCAAGCCCGTAGTAATATTTATTATATTGTTTTTGTGCTTTTTAATAAACAAATATAAAAGAATGTACTTTCCTTAAATCATTACTCACTGCTTCTTCATCATCAAACCAAATGTGTTTTGTATTAGCTGATTGGAGAATTGAGCCTAAGCAAAGAATTTCTATGAAATTCATATAAAAATATCTGAATCTGCTGCTACTAAAGGAACTTTAGACACGTCTTATGAAAACACCTATGGAAAATTGAAACAAGATTTCAGAAGCAAAATCTGTTTACCACACAATTAGCAGTTGCTGTTCTTTTGTAATCATTATTTTTCCTCCAAAATTTTTTTTGTTTAGTACAAAATGAAAATAAAAGCAGGATTTACAGCGAGAAAAATCTACAAAGAGGAAGCATCATCATAAAATTTCAGCAAATGGAAAACATTCATAATGTTTTAATGTTATATATTCAATTTTCCCTTCATAGCACTTTGCTTCATTTCATTGATTTCTATTAAAATGAAAATCAGGAACAGAACAAAAAGCTCAGCAAAGCTCAAGAAAGTACTGTTTACTAACTAACATGACCTGTCAATTTAAGGTATGGGTCTTCTAGTGATCTAAATATTTTTATATAAAATTTAAAAAAAATAAAAGGTAGACATAAGAGTAAAGGAGTTAAAACAACAAAAATTTGGTCATGGAGATGAAGTAAGCAATAACATTAAAGCTTATTTAATAAAAATTTAATGTTGACTTGAAAAGTAATATAGATAATCTTAAGGATAATCAAGAAAATCAAAGTGAAAAAAACCAATATAGTATTATATTATATATATAATAAGGTCCTAATAACCAAGCAGCAGAACTGATCTAAGAATAGTATTCTATGAATTATATTATATTACAAGTGGTTTTTGAGTTGCATATAATCTGTGCTTTGATAAATTGTATATTAGCATCCATCCCTAAATCACTTTTCCTTTGCTGGATTTAGATTACCATATACATGCTGACTCTTCATTTTTAGCAAAGTTACAATTTTTATCAATATACACATATTTGTACAATTATTGATTTTTAATTTTTTTCCTTTGTGCCTTCTAGTATGTAAAATGGGTAGTCACCCTATCCCTCACTAAGAGGGTGAAATTCAAACAAAAAGCAGATAAGAGAGTTAGCTGAAGAATACATGACGGAAGAGTATTCTAGGCAGAAGGAACAGCTAGAGCAAAGGCCTTAACAAAGGGAGCAAGGTTAGTGGAGAAGGTAGTAGAAGATGAGGTCAGATAGGCAATAGCAAGCCAGTGTAATGATATTGGTTTTATTCCTAATTAAAGGGGAAGTCATTATAGGGTTTTGAAGAGAAAAGTGAATTTTAAAGTGATCATTTTGGGTGGCTATGTTGAAAATGGATGAGATGAGAGAAAAGACCAGTAAGGAGGATGTTTGTACCTAACTAGAGATGATGTTGAGGGCTTGCAGATTCAGCAATTAAAAATAGAGTAAAGGCTCTGGCTGTGTAGCTCAGTGGATTGAGCACGAGCCTGCAAACCAAACAACTGCAGTTCAATTCCCAGTCAGGGCACATGTCTGGGTTACAGGCCAGTTCCCAGCAGGGAATGCACAAGAGGCAACCATACATTAATATTTCTCTCCCTCTCTCCTTCCCTGACTCTCTAAAGATAAATAAATAAAATCTTTAAAAAATAATAAAGATGAATAGAATTCAATAAATAAAGAATATTCATTTAAATCTGAGTTTCAGATAAACAATGAGCATTTTTTAGTTTCAGCATATGCCATTATTGCACGGGACATAAATAAAGAAAATATTATTTATTGTTTATTTGAAATTCATACATTAATGAATAGCCAGTATTTTTATTTGTCAAATATAACTAGAATATTAGCAGTAAAGAAGTAAAAAGGGATAATATTCTAAATATATTTTTAAGGTAACACCATCAGCATTTATTTGATGATTTATTGGCTTTGAGGTATGAGAGAAGGATATTAATCAAGAATGATGTAAAAAGTTTTTTTTTTAACTGAATAACGAGAAAAATAGGAGTTGCTATTAACTGGAATAGAGAAGAGTGCAGGTGGAGCAAATTGAAAGGGAGAGAGCAGGATCTTACATTGAGTAGTAAATTAACGGTTATTCTTTTTTATTTTTATGCATTTTAACTTCAAAATAGGTAACAAATATTTCATAAGAAAATAAATAATTAAAGATGCTATTCTCAAAAGAAAAAAAAGAAAATGATAAAGACCGGTAGAAGTTGTGGGCCTGACTGACAAAACAGCTACTTAAGGAAAAGACTAAGCAACCACAGGTAGCTTGTTGTACTTTGAGAAAGCTAGAAGGCGCTGTTCACCTGCGTAATGTCCTCAATGCCTAGGCTTAGATATTTCTGTAGGAAGATTCTAAGTAAATTATGAAGGTAAGCACGAACATAGTTATTTAAACCGCATTAACAGAGTTACCTTTTCTCCTTTTCCTAGTGTTAAGTCACGGCCACTGCGGATGCCTCCAGGGTATCAAGCAGAACTCGTTATTCAGTTGGTGTGGGTGGACGGTGAACCCCCTCAACAGATTACTAGTCTTGCTGTAAACTCAGCATATGGGATGTAAGTAGTTAAACATTCTTTCTAATTGTTATTATTTATCTAATATTTTTGATATATTTAAATATTTCCTTTAAAATACTTAAATATAGAAAGAAGCCCTTACCTGGGTTTTTATTAGATAAAAACGATATAAGAAAAATAATCATTTAAACATAAACTATGATTATTTGCTCTTTTTTGATGTCAAACTTGTGATAGTATTTCCACTTTTAATGTTGTTGGCAAGTTGTTAGGATGTTATTACACTTATAATTTTTTGTATACTTCTATGGGTGCACATTTGTGTTGGTTTTGTTTAATATTGTTTTTCTCCTTGTGTTTCATTTTGAATGCTAGAGTCAGATTCTTTGAGATTCAAATCTCCATTCTGCTTCTTTCTAATTGTTGGATCTTGGAAAGTTACTTAAATTTCTGTGCTTTGTTTCCTTATCTGTAAAATGAGGATAAAATGTTGAAAAGGTTAAATGTATTAGTACATATAAAATGTATCTTTTATGTTCAGAGCAGGATACACATGACATATTCAAGATTGGATAGTTTGAGTTTTTAATAAATGGATTATTTATCTATGATCTAGAGAAACAACACAAGATAGTGGAGTGTGCCAGGGCTAGAAAGAACAGTACTTTATTACCATCTGTTAAAGAATAACTTGAAGACATAGTTAATTATTATCATGTTATTTACTTGAATACTAAGTGAAGCAATAATGGGTTGATCTTATCTAATAAATACAAAAACAGAATTTATATGTGAGAAAAAGAAAAAAATCAAAGAAAGAAAAACCACAGACACTATATAAATAATGAATTTAGTATTTTATTTTCATTGTGTAAGATGTAATGAAACCAGTGAGGGTGTTTGCTCTTGGGCAGCTTTATGAATTACCAAGTAATTCAGTTTGGGTTATTTAGGGCTTCTCCAGAAGACCTTAGCTTTTTTTTTTAATAATATTTATTTATCTTTAGAAGGGAAGGGAAGGAGAGAAATATCAATGTATGGTTGCTTCTGGTGCATCCCCTGCTGGGAACTGGTCCCTGCTGGGAACTGGCCTGCAACCCAGGCATGTGCCGTGACAGGAAATCGAACCGTGATCTTTTGGTTCACAGGCCTGTGCTCAATCCACTGAGCTACACCAGCCAGTGCTGAAGACCTTAGCTTTTTAATTTGTGATATATATGACATTTTTATATTATCTTTTATTTGGGAATACTTCTAGTTGATTATTCCAGGTTTGTATCATTTTTTTCTTGTTAGAATTTATTAATTCCACCTTTTTGGTCAAACTCAGCCCCCAAGCAGACTGACCTTGAGTACCTCAGCCTCCTTATGAAACATTGTAATTTGAATAGTGCCCCAGCATAATGGCTTTGTGACAACATTTAAATACATGCATATTAGATGTCAAAATAAGGGAAAAAGATAAGGACAATCACAATTATTATTTTAGAGATTTTTGGAAACTACTTTGCCGTCCAATATCCTACTGCCTAAGTCTAAACTGAGAGAACAAGTGCCAAGGATCAGTGAAATAAAGTTTTGCTAGCTGAATAGCACTATTTTCCCATGTTTATTAATTGTTCTACTCTTTTGAAGAATTTACCAAGGGGCAATTGTTTAAATCAGAAACTGTGCAGGTCTGATATTATTCACCTCTTATAAGCTATGTGCGTGTGTGTGTGTGTGTGTGTATCATATACATACACAGAAAACTGGCCTCTGGGTAAGAAACAAAGATAGTTTACTATTGACAACAAAAAAGCAGCTAGAGCAACATCTTGTATCAGTTCCCTGAGCCTCAGACCCAACAGAGTAACATGTTGAGGAACAGATGGTACCTGCACATGCAGTGGTACTGCAGAAGAAGAACTCTGAGTTTAAAAAACTCAGGAATGAAAATAGGTCTGCTAGCGGTCTGCCTATCCTCTCATCTGGGAGAGACCACGTCTTTACTCTGGATTGTAAGCATATCTTCTCTGGTGGAGAAAAGACTTCTTTATCTTTTTTAAAGATTATTCTTACATTGTTTTTATTGAACTTTTTAAAATTACAGTTTATATTAAATATTATATTAGACTGAGGTATAAAACAGTGATTAGATATTTATGTAACTTATGCAGTGATCACCTCAATAAGTATATTGCCCATCTGACACCATATGTAGTTATTCCAATTTTATTGACTATATTTCCTGTGCTATACTTTGCATCCCTGTGATGTTTTTATTACTGGCAATTTGTATTTCTTAATCTTTTTACCTTTTAGATCCATGTCCCATACACCTCTCCTGTCTGGCAACCATCAGTTTGTTCTCTTTACATTTGTTTCTGTTTTGTTTGGTTATTTGCTTGATAGGTTTTTAGACTCCACATGTAAGTGAAATCATTTGGTATTTGTCTTTCTCCGTCTGACCTATTTCACTTAGCATAATACCCTTGAGGTCTAGCTATGTTGTCTCAAATAGTAAGATTTCATTCTTTTTATGGCTGAATAATATTCCATTGTATATATATATACAGCTTCTCCTTTATTAGTCATCTATGGATGAACACTTAGGTTGCTTCCGTATTTTGGCTATTGTAAATAATGCTGCAGTGAACATAGTCTTCTAGATTTCTTTGGATAAATACGCAGCAGTGGAATTCCTGGGTCATATGATAGTTCTACTTTTAATTTTTTTAGGAACACCCTTACTGTTTTTATGGTGATTTCATCAATTTGCATTCCCACCAAAACTGCACTAGGGTTCCCTTTTCTCTACATTCTTGCCAACATGTTGATTTATTGATGATTGTCATTCTGATAAGTGCAAAGTAATACCTCTTTGTGATTTTAACTTGCATTTCCCTAATGACTAGTGATGTTGGGCATCTTATCTTTTTATATGTCTGTTGGCCATCTTTGTCCTCTTTGGAGAAATGTCTACTCAGAACTTCTGCCCATTTTTCAGTTGTATTTTGTGTGTGTGTATGTGTGTGTATTTCATTGTATAAATTCCCTATATGTTTCAGATATTAACCATTTATTAATGAGTCATTGACAAATATCTTCTTCCAATAGGTTGTCTTTTTGTTTTGTTGATGGTTTCCTTTGCTCTGCAAAAACTTTTTAATTTGATGTAATCCCATTTGTTTATTCTTTTTTTCTTTCCCTTGCCCAAGGAGACATATCCCCCAAAATATTACTAAGTGAGATATCAAGAGTTTACTGCCTACCTTTTATTTATGGTTTTAGGTCTCACATTTAAATCAATTCATTTTAATTTATTCTTGTACATGGTTTTAAGAAAATGGTCCTGTTTTATTGTTTTGCCTGTATCTCTCCAGATTTTCCAGCACTGTATTAAAAAGACAGTCTTTACCCCATTACATTTTCTTGCTTTCCTTTTGATAGATTACTGTATTTTGCCATGTATAGTGTGCACTTTATTTACCCAACTTTTTTAGGGGAAAATAAGGATGACCATTATACATGGGTAGTACTAATTCTGTGTCTATATGTTTTTAATTCTTTTATTTATGTTTAGGCACTGAAAGTATAACTCCAGAAAGCAGTAACAGTATCCGTATGCAAAATAATACTGCAGAATATAATTGATTTTGTTTCTAAATATAAGTCAATAAATAATTGAATGAAAATGAAAGATTTTTTTTCCTGAAAGTTTGGACCAAAAACATGGGTGTACATTATACATGTCAAAATACAGTAATTGACCATATAGGTATGTGTTTATTTCTTGGGTCTCTATTCTGTTCCACTGATCTATGTAGTTTTTTTCCATGCCAATACCATGCTGTTTTGCTTACTATACCCTTGTAGTACAGTTTGATACTAGGTAGCATGATACTGCCAACTTTGTATCTCTTGACATTACCTTGGCTTTTTGGAGTCTTTTGTGTTTCCACATAAATTTTAGGATTATATTTTTCTGGTTCTGTGAAAGATCCTTTGGTATTTAGATAGGGATTGCACTGAAACCTGTAGATTTCTTTGGGTAGTATGAAATTTTTTTAAAGATTTTATTTATTTATTTTTAGACACAAGAGAAGGAAAGGAGAGAGAGATAGACAGGTATGTGCCCTGACTGGGAATCGAACCAGAGACCTTTTGGTTCACAGGCCTGTACTCAATCCACTGAGCTACACCAGCCAGGGCCTGAAATTTTTAATGATGTCAATTCTTCCTCACCACACACCCAGTATAGCCTTCCATTTATTTGTATCTTCTTTAATTTCTTTCTTTGGTATCTTTTCTGAATACAAGCCTCTTACCTCCTTGATAAAATGTGTCCCTAAGTATTTTATTCTTTTATTCTTTTTGATGCAATTATAAATGAAATTTTCTTAATTTCTTTTCCTAATAAGTCATTATCAGTGTATAAAATGCAATCAATTTCTAAATATTAATTTTGTATCTTTAATGAATTAGAATTATTTTTCTATTTTTAATTTAATTATTTTAATTATTGTTCAAGTACAGTTATCTGTCTTTGACTCCCGTCCCAGATCACCCCCCAGTGTTACCCACCTCCCTTTTATTTCCACCCCCCTTAGTTTTTGTCCATGTGTCCTTTATACTTGTTCCTGTAAACCCTTCCTCTTTTCCCCTGAAATTCCCTCCCCTCTCCCCTCTGGTCACTATCCCCTTGTTCTCTATTTCAGTGTCTTTGTTTTTTTTTTTTCTGCTTGCTTGTTTGTTTTGTTGTTTAGGTTCCTGTTAAAGGTGAGATCATATGGTATTTGTCTTTCACTGCCTGGCTTATTTCACTCAGCATAATGCTTTCCAGTTCCATCCATGCTGTTGGAAAGGGTAGTAGCTCCTTCTTTCTTTCTGCTGCATAAAATTCCATTGCGTAAATGTACCATAGTTTTTGGATCCATTCATTTTACTGATGGGCACACCTAGGTTGCTTCCAGCTCTTGGCTATTGTAAATTGTGCTGCTGTAAACATTCAGGTGCATAAGTTTTTGTAAATTGGTGTTTCAGGGTTCTTAGGATAG